TTTTTTTTTTTTTTTTTTTTTTTTTTTTTTTTTGAGAGTTTTCCACACTGCTTTCTATAGGGGTTGCACGGTTTGCTATCCCACTAGCAGTGAATAAGCGTTCCCCTTTCTCCACATCCATGCCAGTATTTGGTATCATTTGTTCTCTTGATCTTAGCCAGTCTGATGGGTAAGGTAAAATCCTAATGTGGTTTTAATTTGCATTTCCCTAATTACTAACAATGTTGAACTCTTTAAGATGCTTCTTAGCTATATACTTTAGATGTTAAACCTCTGTCAGATGTGTCACTGGTGATTTTTTTCTTAAACTCTTTCTTTGAAGATTTAAAATGTTCATTGTAGAGATCTTTGATGTCTTTGGTCAGGTTTATTCTAAGATACTTAATTTTATTTGAGGCTATTGTGAATGAGAGTGTTTCCTTTTATTCTTTCTCCCATTGCTTGTTATTGTTATAAAGAAAGGCTGCTTATTTTTGTAGATTATTTTTGTAACCTGACATTTCACTGAAAGTGTTGATCAGTTCTAGTTTTCTGGTGGAATTTTGGGGATCTCTTAGATATAGTATCATATCATCTGCAAAAGGGATAATTTGACCTCTTCTTTTCCAATTAGTATTCCTTTAATTTCCTTCTCTTGTCTTATTGCTCTAGCCAGAGTTTCAAGCATTTTATTGAAAAGGAGTAGAGATAGTGGACATCCTTATATGGTTCCTGATTTTAATGGGAATGCTTCTAGTTTTTCTCCATTTAGAATGATGTTGGCTGTAGGCTTTTGTATATAGCTTTAATTATATTGAGATATGTTCCTCATACCTCATAATATGTTCCCTCTAGTCCAATTCCCTTTAGGATTTTTATCCTGAATGCATGGTGAATTTTGTCAAAGACCCTTTCTGCATCTATTGAGATGATGATGTGGTTTTTGTCTCTGTGTCCATTTATATGGTTGATGACGTTTATTGACTTGTGTTTATTGAACCATCCCTGCGTCTTTGGAATAAAGCTGACTTGATCATGGTGGATCATCTTTTTGATGTGTGTCTGTAAGCAGTTTGCAGTATTTTGTTGAAGATTTTTGCATCTATGTTCATTAAGGATATGGGTCTATAGTTTTCTTTTTGGTTATTGTATCTTTACCTGGTTTTGTTATTAAAGTGATGCTGGCTTCATTGAAGGAATTTGAGAGTCCCTCTTGTTTCTATCACTGAATAATTTCAAGTAGTATTCGTTCTAGACCTTCTTTAAATGTCTGTTAGAATTCTGCTGTAAATCCATCTGGGCCTGGGCCTTTTTTTGGGGGGAGGGGTGTCTTTTAGAAACCAGGTGTCTCTATATCCCCAGCTGTCCTGGAACTCACTATGTAGACTAGGCTAGCCTTGAACTCACAGAGATCTGCCTGTCTCTGCTTCCCAAGTGCTGGGATTAAAGTCATATGCCACCATTTCTGGCTTATTATTGCTCTTTTAAATTTTGTGTTCTGGGTTCTCTCTAGGGGCTTCTCCTTATAGAGCTCTTACATAGGACTGGTGGAATTTGGTGGGAGCATTCTGTTTTGGTTTTCTATGTTATTATTTTTCCATTGTGATTTTGGCATATGGATTTCTTTTGTTTGTGATTCTGGTGTAAAACTCAAGCCTTCCTTTGTTGGGTTGAAGTCTGCTTCTGTTTGTATAATTGGTGTGCCTTGGATGTTTTCTTATTGGCTATGTAAAGCTGGTTGGTCTAGGCTTTGGGTTCTCTCAGATTTTATATTGGAGTGAACAGATGGCTTCAGTCCAGCTACTCAGGCTCTAGTCAGGTACTTTCAGGATTTCTCCCATAGTTTGGCCCTACAAATCCATAGATGGCCCTACAAATGGGCCATCACAACACAATTTGAGAAGCTGGCTAAGGGGAGCCCTGATTTAGGTGCACTAAGGCAGTTTGCAAATGTTTGGGCCTGTACTAAAGGGTAGAGAAACCTAGACCTGGGGTGGTGGGATAGACTGTAGGTGTTCCCAGTATAGGGTGTTGGGCACAGTGCAATCTGGGGAAGCTCACCACTATGTGGAGGCTGGATCCATGTCCTCTCAGGCAGTCTGCTAAGGTCTAGGCTCCTACTGTAGGGCAGAGAAGTCTAGCCCTGAGGAAGTGAGAGAGGCCACACATGGTCCCAGTGTCGGGTTGGGCAGGGTACAATTTGGGAAGCTCACCCAAGGGGAGGCAAGATCTAGGCACTCTCAGGCAATCTGCTAAGCCATGGTTGTTTTCTTAGAGAGCTTTGCCACTGGGAATGGATTTAGGTATGGTAAGTTATATTTGCACATTTGCCAACCTGCTTCTGAGGAGTAGCTCTAGGAACAATGAAATGGCGATAAATGAATAAGCTCAATATATGTGAAAAAAAAAGTTTGGTGACTGAGTAGTAGACCTAAGGAGATAGTGGATACTGTTGACAAACAGGGAAATCAGGAAAGTGACTGGTTTAGGTAAGATGAATTTTAATATTTGAGGTTGCAGAGGGACATTCACACAAATGAGATGTGTAGTATAGGACAAGAATGTTGCACTGAGAGGTAAGGGCAGTGACAGAGTTGATTCTCAGCAGCTTCAAAAGAATAAGGCTGGAGTTTGAAAAAGTGTAAGTGAATGGTGAAAAACAGATGCTAATTGGAACTTTGGAAACCAAAGAGAGCTAGTTGAAAGAGAATTTTCTGCCATCTCTTAGATTTCTGGGTAGTTATTTTCTTGGTTTAAATATGTGCCAGTTGTCCAGTCCAGAAAAAGTTTGTTAAAGTCCAAAAAGGTTACTTAGATCCTGTTGTCAGACATGGAAGTTACAGTATGGTATTTCTTTATCTTAGAAATGAGGAAATAACATTGCTTTCTGGAGTTACTGAAAAATCTATATAATGTAGCTCCCTTACCTCACATGATGAAGCTCTGGGTTTGATCCCCAGCACTGAATAACCTTGTGTGATGACACATACCTGTAAATCCCAGCACTTGGGAGGTGGAGGCAGAAAGAGTATAAGCTTAATATCATCCTTGGCTAAAAGCAAGTTTCAGGTCAGCCTGGAATACATAAAACTCTTGAGGTGAAAATAACAAAGCAGTACACAATGACACCAAGTCTGATTATGCAGACTTTTTATTGGCAGGGGCGGGGATTGTCTTTTTGAGACAGGGTCTCCCTGTAGCTCTACCTGGCCTGGAACTCACTTATGTACACCAGGCTGGCCTGGAACTCACAGACCCTGCCCCTGCCTGGGAAAGGCATGCATCATCACACCCAGCCATTATGATGATGCTTGTTAATGAAAAAGAGTGATTTCCAGATCTAGTAAATGATATTGTAGCTTGTAAGTATTCTTTGAAAGTACAGAAGGAAACATGGTCTTATATACAGATGTTCAATAGTGTCCATCCAAGCCCTACCTCGGAGCCTTAGCTCATGACCTTGGGTTATTTTCATCTTTTGGGTTGGATCATTACTGATGAGGAGATGGATTCAGGGTGCCTAGGATGTGTCTAGGGCTGGCTGTGACCAGTGTCCTTAAATGAGTTTAAACTCATCCTTTATCTCTTTGCACTCTCACTAAGGAACCATTGAAAGCTGTGAAATTTTGTTGTTAGCTGGGTGGGTGGCACATGCCTTTAATCTCAGCACTGGGGAGGCAGAGGCAGGTGGATCTCTCTGAGTTCAAGGTCAGCCTAGTCTACATAGTGAGTTCTAGGACACCTGGGGCTATAGGGAGACCCTGTCTCAAAAATACCAAAAAGGGAAAAAAAAATTGCTTCTATAATTTAAAAAATAAAGAATTACTAAAATAAAAGATGAAACTCCCCATTCTCTGCTATGTAGCTCACTCTTCACAGTGAGCTGCTCCATGGCTTAATATAGCCTTTATCTTTTCCCGGACATACCAGCACACAAGCACACAGTTTGCCTTTTTTTTTTTTTTAAGGCTTAGCATTCCTCCTTTATTATTTGAATCTGTTTTGTGTATGTGTGTGGGTATGCATGTGCCATGTCCTGTAGGTGGATGTCAGAGGACAATATGCAGGAGTTGGTCCCTCCTTCCACCATGTGGGTCCCAGGGACCAAACTTAGGTTCTCAGGCCCCAGCATCTTTATCCTTTGAGCCATCTTTCCAGCCCATAAGTTCTTTTTTAAATTAAAAAAAATAGGATCATTTCGTTCCTGCAAGTCATTCTCTTTGGTCTATATGTGGTAGAGCATACCTGGTCACAAAGGTACAAGTTTAATTAAAGAGAATTTCAGTCTCTGTGATTGTTGTCTTCCATTGTTAGCTACATGACTAGCATCAGGATATAGCCTTGTGTCATGAGAGTCTGTTCCTTTGGCTTCGCCTTGCTCCCTTTGGCACTGGTCTGGCTTCTGGGACATCAGGGTTGAGGTGACTATCTACAAGGAGTGGGGCAGTTAGTAAATGTCAAGTCTTCAGTAGCTGATCAGCCTCCTCTGAGCTGTTACATGCCTCTCTCACACTTTTTCTCATCAGTGTCTAAGCAGTGCGCACGTGTGTGTGTGTGTGTGCGCACGCACACGCATGTGCATGTGGTTGTGTGCACATGAGTGCAAAGGCCCATGGAGACCAGAGAAAGTGTCAGATCCTTGGAGCAGGAGTTATAGACTCTTGTGAGCTGCCTGAAATGGGTGCCTGGAACTGAACTTGATCCTTTGTAAGAGTAATACATGCTTCTAACCTCAGCCATCTCTTTAGCCCCCATTAGTATATTTTACTTTAATTTCTCTTCCAATTGCCGGGGAAGAAGGCTAGGTGGTATGTGGCATCTGGGTGGCCTGGTGTTCTCTGGGCCTCGCTGATCCAGAGGAAGAGTCCTCTGCCTTATCAAAATTTGTATCCCATCAACATAAGTGTAAAATACTGAATACTTTAGCCTTCTCCTTTTTCTTAGATTGGCTTTTCAGATGCCCCGCAACAAATGTAAAAACTTGCTGACAAGCCAGGCATAGGGTGACATGCCTCTAGTCCCAGCACTTACTCAGGCAGCTGAGTTCAGAGAATCACTTGAGTTTAGGAGTTCAAGACTGGCCTGAGCAACATAGCGAGACTTTATTTAAAAAATAAAAAAGCTACCAGGCGTGGTGGTACACGCCTTTAATCCCAGCACTCGGGAGGCAGAGGCAGATGGATCTCTGTGAGTTCTAGGCCAGCCTGGTCTACATAGTGAGTTCCAGGACAGCTGGGGCTACAGGGAGACCCTGTCTCAAAAAGACCAAAAAAAAAAAAAAAAAAAAAAAGCCAAAAAAAAAAAAAAAAAAAAAAAAAAAAAAAAAAAAAAAAAAAAAAGCCAAAAAACCAAAAATAATTGATGACAGTGTTTACATCCAGGCAGTGGTTGCAGGAATTCAACAGGCTCATGCAGAACAGCTGGCTAACATGAGAATCCAGGACCTCAAAGTCAGCCTCAAACCTCTACACTCAGTGAACAACCCCATTCTGAGAAAGAGGAAGTTACTTGGGTAAGTGAGCTTATTTCTTTGATTCTTCATGGCAGGCATGGTTGAGTGTTGGGGGGGGGGCTGAAAATTCAGCCACAGATCTGCCTTTTTTCTGCAGATGGTAGATAGTATATACTCTTTAAATGACAAATAGAGAAGTTGGATGCCCTCTAATTATTTTTCTGAAAAATCTGGATTCTTGTATTTGAAGTTAATAACCCAGAGTTGGGTTCTGAGGTCTTACCTTGCCATCCATTATCTCTCCCTAAACTTGTAAAGCACGAAGCCCAAGGATGGTGTTTATATCCATGATGAGAATGGAGCTGAGGATTCAAATGTTGCCTTGGAAAAGCTTCGAGATGTCATTGCCCAGTGTATCCTTCCCCAGGCTGGTAAAGGTCATGCCACTTCCTAATGTTCTGCATGTGTGTGTTTTTGTGTGTGAGCACACATGGGTGTGCACATGACAGGAGTGGTTTACTCTGTAATGGTCTGTTTTATCTCAGTGTTACAATAAGTATATTAGTAGTCTATGTAGTCTAATAGTACATAGATCAATCTTTGCCCATTAGTAAGTATAGACAGTACAAGTTCAGACATGTGCTATGCTTCTTTTGGGGTCTGAAATTCTAGTTTGGCTTACTTGCCATTACCAAGTGCAGCCTGTACTTTGTGTTGTCTTAGTTTGACACTGAGGACACAGAGTAGATAATGGAGAATTAAAATGTGACCAGGCTCAGGGTTAGGCTACAGGCTATAAACACCATTTCCAGAACCTTCAGAGTGCAATACTGCCTTTAGTTTGTGAATATGAAGAGAACACAAGTTCAGACCTAGCTTTTGCTGCTGCTTGTGTCACTAGACTTGCACACAGCCTTATGAGTAGAGCTTTAATTCTGTGTGTTCTCTCTTTATTCAAATAGTTGTGATGTGAGAGGCTATTCTCAGCTAATGAATAGGTGCTTCATGTTAATTTAGGTCAGAAAATGTTGGGTTGACCTGTCTTCCTAAATTCTTTGCTTTTTAAGAACACTTATGTAATGTGCCCCAGCTTTTAAAACAAAGGGTGAATTTAGGAGAAAGAAGGGAACACACAGTCTTGGTCTGAGGTTGGCTAGATGTTTTTGCTCAGCTGATCTGCCACCTTTTCCTCATCCTTCAACACTAAGACTTTGGGGCTATTAAAGCATTTGTGTGGAAATGGAAAATTAAGAAGAGCTCAGTGATCAGAAGCAGCCAGCATGTCATGTTAGGAAAGCCCGTGCTAGTGAGGCTATACACTTAGTCATATTGTTCAAGCAGGCAGACATGTCTTTCCATTTCTGACACTTTATAAAATCCTGTGGTGCTGGGGGTTGGAGAGATGGCTCAGTGGTTAAGAACACTGGATGTTCTTGCAGAAGACCCAGGTTCAAATCCCAGCACCCACATGGCAGCTAACAGCTGTCCAAAACTCCAGTTCCAGGGGATCTGATGGCCTCTTCTGTCCTCCTCGGGCATGGCACGACACGGGTGCACTTACCTACATGCAGGCAATACACGCATACACATAAAATAAAAATGATAAATAATATTTAAAAAAAAATCCTGTGGTGCTGCAGGATAAATGAAACTTGCTCTCTATCTTTACCAATAGGAGAAAATGAAGATGAGAAGCTGAATGAAGTAATGCAGGAGGCCTGGAAGTATAACCGTGAGTGCAAACTCCTGAGGGATACTCTGCAAACTTTCAGCTGGAATGGTAAGGACCTTAGTCATGCTTGTTCCGAAGGGCAGAGAAGTCTTTATGTCTAGAACACATACAATCCCTTTGAGGCCTGAGCTAGGTCTCTTTTCACATCAAGTGAGGATGGGGAGTGAATGATGTTGTATGTGTTGGGACGTGACTCTGCTTTAACTGCCCAGGCACATCATCTCGATATCCGACCCTTTCGCTTGTTTTCTAGAGATCAAGTGAATCGTATGGGGTAGGTTCAACATTGAAGAGTCTGGTAAATACCACTTGAGCAAAACAAAATTGAGATACTTCTCCCACTTACTAGGCTGTTCACTAGGCCATTAAGGAATTGAAAGTACACACTGAAGCGGGGGAAGAGGATGAAGTACCACAGAGTTCACCTTAATGATTTGTTTAGCTTAGAGTTATTTCACTAAAGAGGTTTGCCAGATCTGCTGCTATTAAATTCCACCCCCCCACCCCCTACCCTGGCCAGGAAAGTCACTGATTCTTGTCATTTCAGTTTAGTAGACTACATTAGGCCAGCTCCATCCAGTATGCTTCAGGATGGGAGCAAATTCTTTGATGTAGTTTCCCTTGCTTTTTTTCTTGAACCATGCCATAAGGAATCTAAAATGCTAGCCTGGCCTTTCACACACTTGGTCAAGATTAACATCATAAGATTTTAAAACATTTTTTAAATGCATTCTTTTTTGTTATATTTATGTGTATGCGTGTATTGCTTGCATGTAGGTAAGTGCACCCGTGTCATGCCCTGCCTGTGGAGGATAAAAGAGGCTGTTGGATTCCCTGGAACTGGAGTTTTGGACAGTTGTTAGCTGCCATGTGGGTGCTGGGATTTGAACCTGGATCTTCTGCAAGAATAATTTGTGTTCTTAAGCACTGAGCCATCTCTCCAACCCCAATTTATTTACTTTTCATGTGTATGAGTGTTTTGCCTACATGAATGTAAGTGCACCTGTGTCATGCAAAGTCAGTGAAGACCAGAAGAGGGCATCAGATTCTCTGGAACTGGAGTTCCAGGCAGTTCTTAGCTGTCATGTGGGTGCTGGGAATTGAACCCATGTCCTCTGGAAGAGTAGTTAGTGCTCTTAACTACTGAGCCATCTCTCCAGCCCCATAAGTTTGTTTGTTTGTTTATTTAGTCTTTTTTGAGACCCTTGTAGCCCCAGCTGTCCTGGAACTCACTATGTAGACCAGGCTGGCCTCAAACTCACAAAGATCCACCTGCCTCTGCTTCCCAAGTGCTGGGATTAAAGGTGTGCCCCACCAGGCCTGGCTATTTTTTAATTTTGTAATAATATGTTATCAGTATAGGAAAGTGATCAGAGATAAAGTAAGTATGTACTTTGAGTGTTGACTCATTGAACACTCCAAGTAACCAACACCTACAGTCATACAGTAGGGTGCACGGTTGTCTTTCAGTACTTTCTAATTGCAATTCTGATTTTTAGCACTGCAGTTTGTTTGGTTTTTGCCTAGTTTAGTATTTATGCAAACAAAATTATTAGACAGTCTGTGTTCTTTTGTCTCGGGGTTATTTGTGAGTTCCATCCATGTTTTGTGTAGTCAATAACTCATCTCATGATGTGAGTATACCAAATCCATTCTGCTACTGAGTGGACCTTTGGATTGTTTCTAGGTTTTGGTAAATAAGAAAAAGGCTATTGTGAAATACTTTTGTTTGTTTTGATGTACAACTTATGAAAAATTGTTTTGTTTTGTTTGAGACAGGGTGTTACTATGTAGCCTTGGCTGGCCTGGAACTTGCTATATAGACCAGGTTGGCTTGGAAAGCACAGAGATCCTCCTGCTTCTGCCTGGGATTAAAGGCATGTACCACCATGCTAGGCATGAAGTCATATATTGGAGTAGCCATTTTACCAAGTATTCACCTGCTTGAGTTTAGCAGGCATTGTCTGCAATTTTGAAAGCAGTATGAATTTTTGAAATTGTGAATTTACAGACTCTCATTAGAGGGACTTGAGGCCTTTCCTCATTCTGCATCTGGCCATTCTAGTTGGATTGCAGTGGTATTACAGTGTGTTTTGAGCTGGCACTACCCTGATGGACAGTTAATGTGCTTTTTATATTGACCACTTAAAATTCCCTCTTTTATGGAATGCCTATTTTAATTTTTTGACCTTTATTTTTACTGAGTTGTAACTTTCTTATACATGTGTAGGAGGTTTTTTGTTGTTTTTTTTATACCCTTGATATGAGTCCTTTGCCATACATATTATAATGATCTATTTGTAGTTCAATTATTGTAGTGAAGTTTGAGTTTTTATTGCCACGTTAATGGAATTGCTCAATTGCTACTTGAAAATAGGGAATCTGAACTGCTTTTGATCAGTGTTGGGGGTGGGTTCTCTACTGATGTGGATAAATTTAAGACTAGTGTATCTCACTGGGTTCTTGTCAAGAGTCCATCATCTCTTAAAAGAGTTTGAGAACTGATCTTGTTCTTTCTTGAGTTTCAGGTCGTGGATTCACAGATAAAGTAGATCGACTTAAACTGGCAGAAATTGTGAAGCAAGTGATAGAAGAGCAAATCACTTCCCAGGAATCCCAGTAATAACAGCTTCAAAACTTTTTTTTTTAATAATTTGAAAAACTATTCCTTATTCCTTAATGTAAAAAGTAATTTTTATGTAAATTAATAAATCATAATTTCATCCCACATTGCTTAAAGTTGCTACATAGATTTAGGTTCAGAATTTACTAATAGTATAGTTGTTTACTTTTAAGGAAAGCTCAATTCCTAGAGACATACTGTTAATTTAGGACTATTATTTGTAAGATGATAGATGGTATTATCAAAAACGATTGCTTTATTTGTCATAAAGTATTCAAAACTATTTGCCAGAGGTAGGTAAAGGACCAGCTGTTGCTAGACTGTCTGCTTAGTTACAGGTGAATCAAGTTGTGTGGAATCTCATCTCATTTGATCTGTATATTTATTTTCTGCACCCTGGTTAGATTACCTCTAGTGCCAAAATTTTCTTGTGGATACTTCCTGCCAATAGCCTGCTATAATTCATGGGGTGTAAAAATCCTGGGGGCGTGCCATGCGTGGTGGCGCACACCTTTAATCCCAGCCCTTGGGAGGCAGAGGCAGGAAGAGCCCTGTGAGTTCAAGGCTAGCCTGGTCTACATAGTGAGTTCCAGGACAGCTTGGGGTTACAGGGAGATCCTGTCTCAGAAAGACAAAAAAAATCCTGGGGGCCTAGGCTGACTCCTGGGGAAGCAGCAGCTCTGCTTTTCCTTCTTTTGTCCCCATTTACCCACAAGGGCCTTGATGTGTTCCTTAAATTGGACGAGATTCTCTTTGGGGTTTATTCTTTTTGTGTCCAGCTGGAGGCTCCTTTTTCCCTTCCCTGCGCCCATTTTGTTCTTCCCTCACAGCTTCACCTGCTCCATTGCTTACAGTTTTTCCCTGCTCCTCTGGCTTCCTTTCTAGGATGATTTTCCCGAAAAACTGAACATCAAAGATGGTCCAACATTTTTTCTCTTACAGCTGTTCCTTTCCTTTGTAATGTTTCTGCCTGGGTTTCTTATTGGCATCCTCTGAGCTCTATTTTCTTCAGTATGTTTCATTGTCAAGAAACATAATTATGGCCCAGAAAGCAGCTTCCCCCTCCTCTTGTTTTCTATTATGTATATAGGCACAAAGAACTCTTATTTGGTGGTGGTTGGCTTTTTGTTGTTTGTTTCTGGTTTTTTGAGACAAGGTGTTCCTGTAGTACCAGCTGGACTAGAACTCACTATGTAGACCATGCTGGCCTCTGTCTCACAGAGATCTGCCTGCCTCTGCCTTCCAAGTGCTGAGATTAAAGGCATGTGCCACCATGTCTGGCTGTGGTTGTCTTTTTGTCTTTTTATCTTTTTTTTGAGACAGGGTCTCCTTGTAGCCCCAGCTGTCCTGGAACTCACTATGTAGACCAGGCTGTCTTGGAACTCACAAATATCTGCCTGCCTCTGAATCCCAAGTGCTAGGATTAAAGGCGTGCGCCACCATGCCTGGCTGGTTGTCATTTTTTTAAAAGCTGTTTTTGTTTAGTACCTCTGTTGGCAAATAGAAGAGCTAATAAGCAAACTCCATCTTACAGACAGGATAAGTAGCCTCAGTTATTCAGTTTACCTAATCATAGTCTCTTTAATCAAACTGGATTCTCTAGAGCTCATTTATTTTCACTCTTCTCTAGTTCCCTGAGTATGTCTTCAGGGTGGAATTTAGTTACGGTAGTCCATGTATGTGTTACTGATTGTGGGATTATATGATAAAAAATCCCAAGTATCTTTTAAGAATCACCTTATTAGAAGGATTCTCCTAGAGAGTATGCAGTTGGAGGTATTTTTTAAGGTAAGGTTCACTAATCTTGGAGAACTATTAACTATTGTAAAAGGAATCCTGTAAGAAGGTAAGAACAATTTTCAAGATAGGTAAATTAAGGGCCTATTCAGTTTTTCAGTGAAATGTACTTTTTTAGAATCTGAAAACCTGTAATATTCCTATCTTAGGGCAGAAGCCCAATATTCCATGGGGACAGGATAGTAATTAATTACTGTTGTTACTCTTTTCTTTAGAGGAACCTTCTAGTATATTGACTGTACCATTAGCTTCTGAAATTTATTATATGGTATCTTCTGAAAGTTCAAGATGTTTTTTTTCCCTTCAATGTGGTAAATTTTAGACATGATAGATACTTGCTTTTAAAAATTCTGAGCATCCCTTGTCTGTTTCAGTAACTTCAGGCTGATTTATCTGACCTCCAAAATGAGAACCATGTCCAGAAATGTACAGAGGGGAACTATGCTAGATGTTTATAAAAACCCTGGAGGATGTTGTAATTCAAAAGTGGGTCTAAGTCATGCTTGGTGGTGCATGCCTTTAATCCCAGCACTCGGGAGGCAGAGGCAGATGGATCTCTGTGAGTTCTAGGCCAGCCTGGTCTACATAGTGAGTTCCAGGACAGCTGGGGCTGCAGGGAGATCCTGTCTCAAAAAGACCAAAAAAAAAGGGTCTAATCCTGGACAAAATTCCTCAGAAAATAACAGTAGTTTGTAAGAGACTCAGCACTGTGTTGAAGTTGAATTTTCTTGTATACTCCTAGACCAGAATTTTGCTTTACTTTATGAGTCAGTTTTGTTAATAATGCAAAGTTCACACATAATGGGAAATGAAACCTTATCTTCCTTGTATTTTATTGCCTAAGACTATCTGTGGAAACTTTATAAGGACAGTTCTTACAAAGCAGCAAATTATAGTCTGCAGTTTTCCCACATGATTTGCTAAACTTCTGCTTATTAAAACCATTACTTGTCACTCAAATACCTTTAGATCTTACCAGTTATGTCTGCTTCATACAGACAAATATGTGTCTTACTGGCTAATACATTGTGTGATCATAGGAGAATGCCTCTCAGAAATTTATTTTTTGAAACATGTAGATGAGAATTGGCTTTTGAAAGAGTTTATGTTCTCTACAGTCATGTGAGAAAGAACAAGTTGAAGGAGTAGTATGTAGTGCTGGTCAAAGAAGTCACAGATTTTAATCAGCTCTTGTGTGTCAGGATGTATGCATGTGTGTATTTATGGAAGAAAATGTTTCAACTTGAGAACTGGAAAATTGGAGATTTCATTTTAATTATATATTTTTTAATTAAAACTAGAGTGTTGTTCCATTACTGATTCGTGGTTTATCCCCTCCAAATGATCTAACTAATTTGTTCTGATTTGTTCTATGCTTTTTACTTATGACACAGGGAAAAAGCAAATTGATAATTTCCAAAATAAATACTTTGAAGAGATTTTGCTTTTACATAAAGTTCAAGAAGAAGAAGTTCAGCTGGAAATCATTCCACCTTTATCTCTCTATCTACTTTATTTATTTATTTATTCATTTTTAGACAGGGTCTCCCTGTAGCCTCAGCTGGCCTGGAGTTCACTATGCAGACCAGGCTGGCCTGAACTCACAGAGATCCGCCTCCCTCTGCCTCCCAGAGTGCTGGGATTAAAGGTGTGTACCATTATGCCCAGCTTCACCTTTATTACTGTAAAAAAAATTTTTAATTTATTTTATTTTATGTGTGTGTGTGTATTGCCTGCATGTAGGTAAGGCACCCGTGTTGTGCAATGCCTGCAGAGGTCAGAAGAAGCTGTTGGATTCCCTGGGACTGGAGTTATGGACAGTCGTTAGCTGCCACGTGGGTCCTGGGATTCAAATCCAGATCTTCTGCAAGAGCAACCAGGGTTCTTAACTGCTGAGCCATCTCTCCACCCCTATTACTATAAAATTTTTAGTGAGTTTATGAGATGGCTGTCAATTTTTTTGCTAGGTGCTAATGAAATATTTTACCATCAAGTATTGATTGATGACAGATCTAAGGAGCTATATCTAGGATGGTACCATTCAATTTCTTTTTTATTTTTTAGTTTCAATTTTGGGCTTTTGCTTTTGTTTTTGTTTTGATATTTTAATTAAATTTCTTTTTTCTTTTTTTTATTAATATGTATGTTGCCTACATGTGTATAAGTGCCTTCCTGTCATGCAATGTCTGTGGAGGTCAGAAGAGGGTGTCCAATTTCCCTGGAACTGGAGTTACAGATGGTTGTTAGCTACCATGTGGGTGCTGGAAACCGAACCCAGGTCCTCTGAAAGAGCAACCAGTACTCTTACCCACTGAACCCCTTGTTTTGCTTTTCAAAAATTTTAAAAAATATTATTTTTATATGTATGCATGTATTGCCTGCATGTATGTAAGTGCACCCATGTTGTGCAATGCCCGCGAGGACAGAAGGGGCTGTCAGATACCCTGGAACTGGAGTTACAGACAGGTGTTAGCTGCCATGTGGGTGCTGGGATTCGAACCCGGGTCTTCTGCAAGAACAGTCAGTGTTCTTAACCGCTGAGCCATCTCTCCAGCCCTTGTGCTTTTTGAGAGAAGGTCTTACTTTATAGCCGTGGGTGGCCTAGATACTCACTATATAGGGCCTGGAGAGATGGCTCAGGAACACTGGCTGTGCTTGCAGAAGACCCAGGTTAGAATCCCAGAACCCACATGGCAGCTAACACCTGTCCGTAACTCCAGTTCCAGGAGTTCTGACAGCCTCTTCTGCCCTCCGTGGGCATTGCACGACACGGGTGCACTTACCTACATGCAGGCAATACATGCATACACGTAAAATAAAAATAAGTAAAATATTTTTTTAATAAAACCTCACTATATAGACTAGGGTAGCCTTGGACTTGTAGCAATCATCCTGTCTCTGTCTACTGAGTACTGAGATTATAGGCATGCACCACCTCACCTGCCTCCAATTCTTTTCTGAATTAGGCAGAGCATTTCCCCATATTCAAGTGTTATCTGTAATTATGTCTTGTACAGGCTTTATGCTGTAAATATTTGACTTAATATAAAATTATTTTTATGCTAGGTAAAAGGTGTAGAATTTTATTTTAGTTAATCTCAGAGGAATTTCTGCTGAGTGCACCAAGGAAGTTAACATGAGCATGAGCCCTGGATTTCCATAGGCAGTGCAGGTCAGTCAGGGCTATCCACGCGGAGGGATTTTTACAGGGTTTTAGAGAGCCCATTTCAATTTTTTTGATGGTTGGTAACTGAAGACCTGCATGATCAGTTTATTTTATCTTATGATTTACTTTTATGTTGAGACAT